ATTCTGTAAATTATTTAATTTGAAAAGACGAATGTTCATTAATTCCAAGGAAAAACCATGACAACTGTTGATGAATCCATTGTGAATTTTAGAAATGGGAAGTTAGTGACTTCCATAAAATTGTCTTTAGTCAAGAATTCCCTTAAAATTACCAAATAAAAAATATTCATAACTGCAAATTCACATAAGCATATTTGCTCTATGAGAAGTGCATCTCTTTTAAAATCGCATAAAAGTGATTTACCAGGGGTTATTTTGGCACACATCTGTTATTTATGCAAACATGTTCATCAACAGAGCTAGTATGGTACCATTAAATACATGCATGCAGACAGCTCTACGATCCACATGGGGCAAAAATGTACAGCACATGTACATCACCAAATAATCTCACTTTAAACAAGCACAATCTAGTCTGTTAAATCAGAAAAGTTGTACTATAATGAACATCAAAAATATTATTGCAGTCACCAAGGTTATTTTTGAGTTCATGGTGTCATTTGTATACATAAACAGCCATGAAAATGATCTCTATTAGTAAAAAAAAAAACACTGCAATTGTCATATCATTACTATATTTGTTCCCCAATATAAGCACATATACTGGTAATACAATTATATTTATTGTATATTGAATCATTGAACTATGACACCATTATTATTATGATCACACTTGTACATTATTTATACAAGTGTATATGCTTCTAATAGAGCAAATACAGTAGCCCACTTTGACATCCACTCAGCAACGTAGCAAGCGGAGAACTAGGAATTTGTGGAGCAGTACATGCTTCATTGCAGGTAAAAAAAAAATAGTACCATCAAATCTTTATTAGAAGGCTCATCTATAATTTAAGTTGCACACATTCATTTTGAACAATTGAGAACAAAAAAATTATCATTTCTCATATATGTAGATGCTCCAATAGAAACCCTCTGTTACATTTTACAATTATAATATATGCTGCAGCTTCTAATACAGATTTTACAGTAACTGAAAAGTTTAGTTTTTTTTCCTTCAAATAAAAGAAAAAAATGTAAACCAACCGACATGCATGTGGTTAATTATTGTGGAGCTTAATAATCACAAAACTTAATATTTATTTTATAACATTTGGCAAGGTTTGAAGTCACATGGGCATTTGATTTTTTTTTTTACTCCATATAGCATAATACCAAGCCAAAATGACTTTAGTAGTACCCAATTAGAAATCTACGAGTAATATGCCTGGTTATATGGAAAATACCTACTAAGGTAATTGGCAAGAAATGAATTCATCGAATACAGATCAACCTCCAGTCAGTACCATCTTAAAATGGTTCCCTCAATGTATATTCGTTTGGCCTTAGTTCTATATTAAATGGATTAACACAATAAAAAAAGCCAACCTTCACTAAGAACACTCACACAACATTCTTTGGTAAAATAGTACTTTTTACCTTAGTAATTTAACTGTTTTATTATATGTTCATATACTGTAGAATACTTTATTTTCGCTTGGAATTTATTTTCGCTATTTGCAGTGAAGGGATGATTCCGTGAAAATAAAATCCAGCGAATATACTTTTTTTCCTATATTTCACATTAAACTCATCAAAAATTAGTGAAAATAAAATCCATACAAAACGCCCAAAAAACCTTTTCAGCGAAAATTAATTCCAGCGAAAATAAAGTATTCCACAGTATATTATTATTTTGTTTTGGTCACTAAATGAAAAAAAAATTACCCTTGAGTAATTTGTTGTTATCCAGTCAGAATTTCACTGCAATAAACTGCAGTACAACACAGTTTCTTTCTTCTCCATACATTAATTACATGTAGCATAAATACTGTAATAATTACCATACCAGTTGTCATACTGTAGAATACTTTATTTTCGCTTGGAATTTATTTTCGCTATTTTTGCTGAAGGGATGATTCTGTGAAAATAAAATCCAGCGAATATACTTCTTTTCCTATATTTCACATTAAACTCATAAAAAATCAGTGAAAATAAATTCCATACAAAATGCCCAAAAAGCCTTTTCAGCGAAAATTAATTCCAGCGAAAATAAAGTATTCCACAGTATTTCACTCATATGTCGAAACTATGAATAATATCCACCACAATCATATATCATATGTATAGAATATAACTAAAAATAGGTATAAACTACACTGTAATTTTTAAGTTTGTAAATTTACTGCTAGAAAATTCTCACAATATATAATAATTCAATGTCACATGCAGTTAATAAACCATATAATAATCACTATGACAACACAAACATGCAACGTTGCATGTCACACTGGAAGAACAAATATACATGTACATGAACTTGGTCTATTGTCATCAACACTTTTCAATATTTTGTAAATTCTGCAATAATTTTGGTTCAAAATAATGTATTTTACATGAGCTCAAGATTGATTTTGTTTACAATTTCATGATGAAAGTAAGATGCTAGTAACAGTCAAGAAATGTGATCGGTTTACCCAAACACAAGAACAGGCTGACAGCAAGATCATAACAAAAACATGCAGTATTTTAGTCACTGTATGCATGCTAAAGAGCCAGCAACCCAGTGTATAACCCATTTATATACTGAGCTAAAAAAATGACTACTGTAAAATACTATGTTTTAGCTGGATTTAATTTTCGATGAAGAAGCTATATATGGTGTTTTCTTTTAGAATTTATTTTCACTAATTTTTGATGAGAAATATAGGGAAAAAAAGATATTCGCTGGTATCTATTTTCACTGAAGCATCCCTTAGGCGAAAATAAATTCCAAGCAGAAATAAAGTATTAAAAAGCAAGTCAACACACTAAGGACACTATCCAGCATAACAAGATTTAGGTCAATGACAAAGTTGTCACGAACATGAACATAACTTCTACATGCTACCATGATATCTCTATGTGTGTTTATATTGTACCAAAAAATCAATTACATTATATTTTAAAAATTGCCAACAAATTAAACATTTCATAGTGTCAACCGAAGATTTTTTGTACATGCACATCTGTAGTGTCATTCTGGTCTCTTACTCCGAATCAACTGTCTCCTGGAAGTCAGGCATCACCCGAAATTTCTTTGTGCGAACTAGTTTTTTGTTAAATGTACAGGTTTTCAAATGCTCAGCAATGCTAGGATTGTCCTCAAATCCCCAGGATGTGACAGGTGTGAATGCAGTGCTGAATTGCCATACCTGTTTTTAAAACAAAGCAGAAAACATATTTTATAATAATTACAACCATATATATTCATCATAAACATGTATGTATAAATAAATAATGTACAACTTTATTATTTCAGATTAACACAACAAGTCATTGTTAATGACATAGTCCCTGTTACAATTAGGGGAAATGTTATTCAAGTCAGAAATAAAGTAATATACACCAACAGCATAGTTAATAATTCAGAGTGAATAATTGGCTGGTCTAGTATCAACATAAATTAGATGTATTAAATGACACTTCCTAAGTAGTAACATATGGTCAGAAATTAAACAGGATAAGCTATAGTATTCATGCATTTTTTGTATCCAAACTGAACTTCATTTGTCCAGGCTCATGTAGAGAGATACAAAACACGAATTAAATCATCATGGACATATATTTCAAAATGTTTAATGATTGTATCAAATTTGAAAACAGACGAATCTTGTCCAAGATACCATATTTTTAAACAAGCATCATGAAATGAACATATACAGCAAGTATCAAAGCATTCAGGCTTGTAGTTTTCAAGAAGAAGTCTAAAAAGTAAAAAGTTGAAACGGAAGGCTGACGCCGACGGACAATCACTCATATAAGTTCCGCTCGACAAAGTTGACAGCGGAGCTAAAAAACAAAAAGGCTGCCAGTTAGCCATCTTGGATTGAATCAGTAAACCAATACATGTGCACATGCCCCAGATAAAGTACTAGCGCATGCAAAGAATAGACAGATTTGGTCCACAGGGTTCTGAAATATGACTCCGGACTATCTGATTTCCCATAGTGTTACTG